CATGTCATCAAGTCTCACAACCACATAAATCAACACTACTACCAAATTTATTTTGATTTCCATCAAATTTGAATTCTCGTTCATAGTTTTTTATAGAAATCCAGCAGTGGGTCTTGAGCTTAATACTGAATTAACCAAATTTGCATGGTAGTAGTACGTAGTTACTTCCCTTTGAATTATAGACTGTTATTGTTTAGAAAATCGGTCTATCTAAATTATGGTGTGACTTCGTATGTCTGAAAGTTCTAATTTAGGGTTCCATGTTTTTACTGAATTTGTTTAATAATTGCACAAAATTGGAACCCTTTGAATGACGAACTAGTATTTTATGTGATAAAATGCTTGTTTAAACTTCATTGTGAAAAAATAAATCACTAAAGAAACTAAAATTTTGAACTTGTACATACTTGAATTCTGTCTCAGGCCGTTCTTACGAGACCCCATCTATGGAAGTGGACTACTACTATCCGTCGATTGAAAGATGGACCGTTTTGCACGTCTGTCATTTCCATTAGAGCACTTGATTCTGCCGCATGCTGAAATAAGTCTAAGTGTCAGACGACAGAAGTGGACTACGGTCCGTCGATTGATCGACATGCCATTCTGCACGTATGCCATTTCTATCGGAGAAGTATGTTTTCCACCCATCCTTAAATAATATTATGTGTGAGATGACAAACATGGTCTACGGACCGTCGATTACCCTCGGGTCCGTAGTGACTCTGTCAATGATCTATGTTTTGGATTTCTAAGTTTCTTTTGTCTGTGGGTTTTCAATTGTGTTGTTATGCTACCCTTACACTAATAACTACTCTACACGTACCAACGTCCCTAAAAAAGGTCAGCGTCTACTCCAAGAAGGGTAAATCAAAGTCATTTACCCCAATGAATCGATTAATCAACAAGGACATGGACACGGAGCAGGACCCAGTCTATGTCCCTCAAGGCACTACATCACCAAGAACATTTGCACGAAGCACTAGGTGAACCTCTTAAGAAGGTGGCTTTTTACGTAGTCACTGTCTCCCACTCTGATGAGGGGTGCACACTGATCAGTTCACCGAGCGGGGCTATTTCTGGTTCAGAAGGAAGTTAAGCATCCGGCTCCAAGGATTCTTCAGCCTCAGTCGGCCCAAGCCTCAATGTCGAAGACTGCCACTACCTCATGTTCCAAATCTCAGGGAACCTCTTGATCTGGGGATGAAAACCACCAAGCCTCGAGTGATGAGGCTACTAGTTCAAACTCTACACCAGAACCCCAAATGGATGACCCTACTCCGGTTACAAACGAACTAAACTGGTGGTGCGTAGAAGGATAGTGGTAGGTGTATCAGGATGCGAAAATGCTGAATGAAAAAGCGGTGATGACCCAGTTGGTGATGGAGGATCATCGTTTCCTAACAGGTAGTTTGCCTACAGTCCCCGAGGTGCATCGACACTTTGATTTCCACAGGTGTGGATGGATTTCCCAAGACTTGGTCTCATATAGGGAGCAGATCGTGTAGGAATTTTACACCTCCTATGCTGCCACTCTCTAAGGGTCCATCGATAGGCGGGCAAGGCCTACAAAAAAGCCCCTCTGACCTCTACACTTGTCCAAGGCTTCTGGTTTTACATATTTAAGGCCACCATCCTCTGATTCCTATAGAACACCCCCAGAGGCTCACAGTAGAATTGAAGTACCTTACAGTTTGATTATAGGTTGGAAATTATTTAAAGTGGTGCATTTCATGGGAACGCGGAGCAGTGAGAGCCATTAAAAAATGGTTGGACCAATATATAACTAAAGATGGTGAGATCTTATTGGGTCATAGAACCCCGAGTGAGAATCTGAAAGGCCACATTGAAGTTTGTTACTGAATTCTTCTTGATTCTTGTTTAAAATAGAAAGTCACCGACACAGGCGGATAACTTCCTCACTTGAGATAGGGAGATAGTAGTGGCAGCGATGGTAGCTAGTCTAGAGATTGACTTTGCCAAGTTGTCATTGGAGGTGATACATGAGAGGTCCTTTAAGACCTCCACCACCTACCCTTTTCCATGTTTGATCTTTCAGCTGTGCAAGGATGCATGAGTGTCAATTTGGCACTGTGATAGACTCCACCAACCATCAGTGACATTGGACATAGGTTTCATTAAGGATGAGTCTAATTTGGAAGCACCACACATATGGCCTAGGATTGAGGGTCCTCCATTAAGTCAGAAATTGGCTGAAACGTGGGAGTTAGCCCAAGGGGCTGCATTTTCTAAACCAGAGAATGTTGACCCCACTCCGGCATCTTTTTTCACATGCAGACACCAAGGCCCCAAGCTCTTTGAGATCTACACCAACATTCGGGGCATTGGTTCCTCTAGCTCGAGTTTAGAGGATGGAGGTTCATATGGCCACTCTTCTTCACCACATTCAACCTTGGATGCAAAAATCCATTGCTGAGGCACAGTACCACATAGATAAATGGGTAGCCAAGCAGACGAGCAGAAGGTTCAGGCGGTCCACAAACGCCTTCATGCCTTTGAGCTGCGGGTTCTAGCACATCCATCCCGCACCACTAATCTCATTGCCATCATGTAAGGACCCTCAAAATGATATAAGGTTCCTAGAGACTCACATGTTCCTAAAAAGTTTAAAATAAGTTATGTAAGTGCTTTACAGTATGTATACTTGATTTGAAGTCATTTGGAGGTCAAACGACCAAGAACGTACGAGATGTTCCAAAGTTAGTCTTGAGCCGTGCATATGCGTCTTGGTGTATCTTGGTATATTTTATATGTTTTTTTGCTAAAATTGATAGGATAGGTCCCTAACATGTATATGAGTGTATTAAGGAAAGAAACATCCGAGTAAGACTCCCCAAGGATCGCCCTACAGGTCCTTAAGGAGGACCTAACCTTGGGCCAACAAACTGCCCAAGGCAGCAACGTTTTGTTCATGAATGTAATGGGTATGCATCATGGACTAGGGTTTCGTTTGTCCAAATTTTTTGTCCGCATCATAGACACAACGGAACTCTACTGTTCTACAAATTAATTCTAAAAATTATGCGGGAAAGCTCCGTGTTACGGACTTTCTCCCCGATGAAGATTTCAAAAATGAAAGTTAAATTTCACATGTCTAAAAGTCCAAATAAGTATGTGGGTGTTTTGTTAACTTTGGAGACAGTTACAAACAGTTTTTAACAGTTACTTAATGCCTTTCCTAAGTCCAAACCCCAAAACTCAATAAGAAAATCAAAAATCCCAAAACTCTCTTCTCCTCCAAATTCTCTCAGACCTCCATTGGAGGGAAAAATCAAGTTCAAGCTAGGGACTGGATTTTCATGGTTTCTTCTCAAATTTCTCATAGGTCTTCACTCAATAAGGTATGGTGATCCTTCATCCTTAGTTATCTATTAATCAAAGGAGTTCAATCAAGGATTTTCAAAGTGATTCAAAGACAAAAATTCCCAATTTTCAACCTAGCCATGGGTTCATTGTCAAATTGATTTCAAAATCATTCTATGACGAATTTATGATTAATCAATGATTTAAGATGAATTTAAATCCAATTCCATGAAGAACACACGATCTCCCTAATTTTCTAAAATTATAATATAATGTGGGCCTTGTGATCTTGATTTTATGTTGATTGAATTATTTTTCAATTATGTGGAATTGTCTACTACTATTGTTATTAATGTGAATTGAATATGAATTGTGGAGGAATGATCCAAGGTGATCGTAGCTTGGAGAACTTGCTGGATTGATCTAGATTTCCCTACTTAGTATGGAATTGGCCTTGAATGGCATTGTGTGGTATGGTCCACTTATGGTGGCGGTGTTTACATTCTTGTCGTTCTATATGTGATGTGATCATGGCCTTGAAGGAGATCGTATTATGAAGGTTTTGTTATGATTTTTCTAAATGTGTAATATTATGCCTAGTCTTCTATGCTAATTCAGGATAAGTATATTATGATGCTTTCTATATATGAATGGAGATTTTAGGGTAAGGGGTCTATGTGTTTGACCTTGTTAGAGTCTATTGATGATAGAATATTCTTGTGTATCTTGACCCCTACCTATGAACCCCTACATGAAGGTGCGGTCTTAAGCATGTTTAGGAGTCATACACTCAAGTATTAAGATGTAGAACCTCCTATGTTATAATGTTGTTATGTGTGGTCCATAGTTCCTATACTCTATATGTGAGTTGTCTAAGTTTAAGGGACCGAAATGTGTATTGTGACCTTTGAATGGGTTGCTGCCTCAATGTTAGGATTGTTGCCCTTAGGTGATCATGTTGTCCAATGTACATACACACCTAATGCATGCTTACAAGTAGTATAAGTTCATGGTGTCGAATGAAAGGATATTCTCATATGCACAAATGTCTACTAATACTCATGTAAAGTATATGTACATGAATTATGTCATGTATCTCTTAACTATGATGACTCGATAGGTGTACTAGTATGGACAAGGGTATGGGAACTTGTCTATGTATTGCACATGTGTGTCTTGATAGGATAGTTACTAGGTTGTAAACTATTTACATAAATATTAAAGCATGAACATGTTATGAACATGTCTTATCACTACACCATTTTAGGATTACGGCCAACTTAGAAAAGTGTGGCCTTTGATAAAAGGCTACACTTTCTGACTTTTAGCAACACTTTTTATGGGGTAGCCTAAAGGAGCGTAACCTTTGACATTAGACAACATTTTTGAAGTGTTGCAAAGCAAAAACACTCAAAAATCGTGGCCAAAGAGCTATAAAAGCTACTCTTTTGAGTATTTCATTAGCAACACATTTATCTAATTAGACTATACTTAAAAGTGTGACCTTCGCGTTGTTATTGGTTACACTTTAAAAGTGTAGACTTTATCTCACCTAAAACAACAGTTATAAAGTGTAACTTTTCTTTATGTACAAGATAAAATTTACAAACAATCAGCCACACTTTTGGAGTATGACAAATGAAGAATTTTTGTATAGTGATATAAAGCACAAAATTAGATTATAATTAATCCAAAATAATATATTTCAAATTGAATAAACTTCAAGAATATGGCCATACATATAGAAAGAAATTACTTAAAAATATTTACTAGAAATACATTCCACAAAACCAAATGTATTCAAACAACATTTATGATAATAGTCTTTATCGTTCACTACAATAGATCGAGTGTACTTTTGTCCTCTAGACATCAAAACTCAATCCACAACATTTTCCTGCACATTCAAAAGTAATTAAAAGTTAGAGAATCATGTATTTCATATGATCAATATATTGTTCAATACCCAACACCTTCCCAATCCCTTCACAGTTAAATGATCACTAAACATGTACAAAAAGTATAAGATCTGGGAGAAAGCAATAGGGCATGTATTCAAAGTCTGTCACAGTAGACACACATAGTGATGAGTGTCAATTTCAATACATATGATACTTGTCAAATGTGTGACAATATACTCATTATACTTATAAAAACAATTTAGAATTTGTTGTTCTAACATTCTAAAAATAGTAAAATTAATACTACACAACACATAAAAAAATATGAAGCAATAAATGGATATACTGAAGTACAAAATGATATGGCCGTCTGACCATGTCATATAAAAGAAATAAGTCTACTTCCCCTACTAAATTGTACCTCCATCTGTGCTGACTTCCAGTTTTGGAGTAAGTTTAAAATAGTCAGCCCTGCATATTGTCAATCAAATAGAAGTTTGTTCATGCATTTATGCAGCAATGTAGAAATACAAAACTAAACTCTAATGTACTCTAGAGCAAAGAGGCCAATCACAAGAAAATTTTGTCTCAAGGCATATGTTTAGACAAATACCAATACTAGGTAAATGGAGTCAATGACAAATGAACTCTCATTAACCACAAGATCCAAACATAATGACATACTATTTTATCTATGGATTGCTAAAAAGTGATGAAAGAAAGATCTTGTGACTGATTCAACTTTAGCTCTAAGTCACCAGGATCAAAGACTCACATTCATAATCATATATTGTCGAAGTAATAACACAATGAGCCATTGAGCTTCAGAGGTTTTCCATCTTCTACTTAATACATATACAAAGACAATTTGAAAAACCAGAAAGTGAATTCCAACGACTAGATGTTTTTCTTTCCAGACAAGTACTTTTACCATATCAGGGGTTCATTTTTTGATAACTTAAACCGTCTTTTCGTATCTGTTTGGATCAATATTAATAAGAGATTACGAAACTCAAACATATACTATATTTGTTCACAACTGATTGATCCCAACCATTGGTAGTCAACTCGCTTATCTTACCGCTCTAACACCACCACACACACACCCTAAATCCCCATTTCTTAAGTTAGCTTTTTTTTACTTTTTGACACAGTAATGTCCAGGATGTTTACAACCTTTTACTGAAGCTTTTAACATAAATCTCATCTTATAAAATAAAAATAGCGGAACTGAGCTCACATTTCTTATGTTGTTTACTTCCAAAAATAATTATATACTACTTATTTTGAGATGTCAAAATTTAAAACAGAGCACATAGACCTCACCTTATGCTATCATTAAACAAATTAGTAGCCAAGTAAGAGCACTAGTGGTAAGAGTAAGAAGTATACTTGCATCAACCACACTGCGTTGCTATTGCTTTTGACATTGCTTTGTACACAGCAGATCCGAGAGATGAAATATATGTTGAATCATCAGTTGGTGGAGTGTTCTCATTGAAAGTATCACTGTGTAAACATGAAACTTATCAGATTATGAATCATAAACCAAGAATTTATATGAAACTTCTAATTCCTTGTTTTAGGCACTAAGAATAAACCTTGAGTGGAAAATAAAAAAATTCTAAATTTTAAGCCATAAAATAGAAGATAAGATCCCTAAGTAGGGCATTAATTGTCAAGATCAAGAAGTTCTTGACTTAGTTTTCAAGACCCTATTACAAGTTCCACCATTAAATGTTCTGATAAAAAAAGTGTTCATACTCTCCACACATACATGGATCATCTAGGAGGAGAGATACTTCAAGAAAAAAGAGAATATTATAACTAGTACTTACAGGCTGCAAGAGGTGATGGTTGTACATTTAAGGGCATAATGAACAAGTAGGACATTGTCTTTCAGTATTAAATCAAATTTTTTATTTAGCTTTAACTTATAAATTATAAATCCTTATAGCCTCATATTTCTCCTAATGTCATTAACTAAATTTCAGTTCAATCAAAAGAGTCACTGTTAGGCAACAACATACAAAAGATAAGAGCAAAAAATTAACTTTTTCAGGCATGAAAAGAAAGATACCCTAAAATATGAATACTAAACCAGATCAAAGCGAACGAAGAGTTTTTTTTTAATACAGTACATCAATGTGAAAAATCTTGAAACTGCTTGTGAATCAAATGCGCTTAATTAGGCCAGAAGAAGTAGTTTACTAGGATCATAGACTACCAGTTGTAGATATCAGTGATGTCTCTGTATTCTGCAGTGAGCATACAAAACATGAATTTCAAAAGAGTCAGCTCAGATCAAATGATAGCAAATATCCTATCATAGGCTGCAAAACCTCGACTCTATTTTTATCAACGACAAGCCCGGGAAGTTGACCCTGCATCGACTTGCTAAATAAACAATATAAACAATGATTCATGAATTATAACCAACAATATGGCTACATCACTGAAATTGGGAATTTGCATCACAACCCCACCCCCACAAATATGATCATCAATATGAAACTAGATCCGCCAGATCATCTTGGTTTATAAAAAAATTTGATCAAAATGTGCATATGCAAAGGTATAAAACTATAAAAGTAATAGCTTTATACAATATTTCAAATTAGATTCAGATTACAGAGCCAGCTCCCTATACAATGTTTTAAACTCTGGCTGCAAGACTCAAGGCAAATTCTTGAGGCACATTCAACACCCATTGATATAGTTACACCTAGACAAACTACAAAACAAGGACATATCATCAATCACTTGAATTTACAAAGTGAAAGAAATAGAACAAGTTGTGATGCTAAAAATGAACCTTATAAAGGTTAAATGAAAGTTAAAACAAGCTATTAATGAATAGAAGAGGAATAAAAAAAGTTGAACGCACTATAAACAAGATATATACTTACTGATTCAAATGCTTCCAAGTAGTAATTCAATGTATCTCGCCTACTGAATATGCATAGGACTCACTTTAATGTTCATGATCTTTGACACTTTCTTCTCGTTCTTTGGAATTTTATTTGTAACTCGTAATTTGTTTCATTTCAACAACCACAAAGTAATCAACTCCTTCTAAACACAACAAATATTAGTAGAAAATAAAAAAGAACATTGGCTGCAGAATATGGACTCATAAAATCTAATGGTGTTTCTGACATACAGAGAGAACAAATCTAAAACCCCAAACTTGATGAAAGATGAATGATGGACTCATAAAATTGACAAATTTTACCCACCATGTACTTCAACAATCAGACATTGTAGGTAATTCAATATGCAGTCGAAGAACTTTTTGATCCTTCAAGCTCACCTTCTTCACAATAGTAGAACAAGTATACCCGAATTGGCCTCAATCCACTTCCTCCCCAATTTTATACTCACTCACAAATTGCTTAGAAAATCCAAAACTTAGTGTACTCTTAAGACTCATATGAATTGTTCATCTAACATTTTCATGTTCTCTATATTCATCGGAACTTTTCATCTAACAGAGTGAGTCTACTTTTAATGATGAGTGCAAATACATGATATGTGGAGTAAGATCAACATTTGGACAGGTGCAAACATTCAAAATAATGGGATTGCAACAATATGTAATTAGTTTTTCTGTTTGTTGGAGTCCTATGACTGTTCCAGGAATAGGTGCTCTTTAAGATGTAAATGTTTTTTGGTTGAATAGTAATGTTGATAGTTGTTACCCAAAAAAAAAAAGATGAACCATAGAAAATGAAGTTGCAGGGAAAAACTGAACGATGAGGTATATTTAACCTGGAGAAGAAAATAAGGCTTACACATCGAAATAGACTCTCAAAACAGCAAATCAAATGATCCCAAAACCACAACCTACACATTTTGATGCCCTAAATCTTCACCATTATAACTACCACCTAACAATAATAAGTTCAGTAAAAAGTAATCCAACTATGAGACGTGACAGAGAAAGTCATGATGATACCTCTCAACAATGGAATTCTCCTCATCAATGGACCTTGAGACTGATCTGATCTACTGTAGATAGTGTTCACAAGGTAGGCTAAAAAAGGCACTGCAAACGAGCAAAGAACATTTCAAAGAGGTAATAGAATAGTTCCTCCAAACTGTCATACAGAACTCAATAAAGATGAAAGTGAACTATCTGGAAACAACTAATGAATCTATAATGCTATCCACACTCCCAAAAATTGTATAAGAACACAAGAATATCCAAACCCTAAAGTTAAATATTAGACTTTCAAAATAGAAGTTTTTACCTGATAAATCCTATTCTAACAAAATCAGTCTGAAATCCTTCTCTTCAGTGAGAAATTGGAGAGAAAAACGTGACAAAGAGACTATTTAGCTTTATTTCATCATATTGCCAACAACCCCAAAGTATCCAATTCCTTAGAAACACAAAACAAAGAAACAGCCACTTCAGCTAACAGGAAGACAGTTTTAGTACTTACTCTTGACAAAATAGGCATCGGAAAAGACAATTTGACTTACTCTTCAAGAATTCATTATCGGAGAGACGACTTGAACTATCAGTGACTTTAAATCTTCAATTCTTCAGCTCAGTTCTTCTATGACTTCAACTCTTTAGGGAGTTGTTCTCCCAAATCACAGAAGATAATCCATTCTCAACTCTCTTCACTTCTCTTACCAGTTGTTCATTATCTCATTCATTGTTCATTCATTGTTTAGTGAAAGAGCGTTCTTCAGTGAAAGAGGGAAGTGTGAAAGTGGAAATTGAAGTCAAAGGGGAAAACTAAAAAAGATAATATTTTATGATTTATTAATCTTTACTTTTTTTGGCCAATAGAAATGGGAGGGAGAGTTAAAATTATTGGAGAGAATATAATACTTTAGAGAAAAATTTTAAGGCAACACTTATAAGGTGTTGTTTTTTCAATAATAAAAATAGGACATTTTAGAAGTGTGGCCATATATGTAAATAGGTGTTGTCAATTATACCATATTGTAAAAACACTTATAAAGTGTATCTTATACCACTAAAGAGTACACTTTTGAAGTGCTGCCAACATTATTGTAGCTAAAAGTAAAAAAAAAATTATACGCATTAAAAGAGTTCCCAAAAAACTACTTTAGACAACACTTTATAACCATAATCCAGAATTACTGTTGTTGTAGACCTAAAATGGAGTAGTGTATATGCTATGATGTCAAGTCTATGATATGATGAAGTATGAATATGTATAGTGTCTAAATTTTTTTATATGAAAGGATTTGTCATATAGTTACACCTATACACTTATGCATGAATTAAGTGAAGTATGAACATGTGTGGGTCAAGAGTGTTTATATGAAAGGTTTGCTCACAAACATGTACACCTACACACACATGAAAGCGTGTCTATGAAGCTTGTATGATGATATAGTAAATAGAGGATCTCTTGAAAGATGTTCTGAATTGTATCCTAAACTAAATGGTGTTATAATATGCTATGCCCATGTGAAAGGTTTTCTCACATGAATTAGGTTGATGAAAGGATACTCTCATCTATGACCTATGAGCTAAGAATATGAGGAGTTAATCTCCTAAAGCCTATGTTTTATAAAGTAGTAACAATAAAGGCTTTTCAATAAAGGGAACTTAGATTAGCACCGAGTGAACTTAGATGAGGGTTGCACCTTCCCAATGTCAGAAGGCTTGTTCACCATAGTCCTCACGAGGTGGATAACTACAATGCCTCAATAGGCCTGAAGAGGGTTTCCATATATGCCGCCAAGTTCCATAAACTATGCTTGCCCCATAGGATCTAGCAAGTGATATCACCTAATATGCTAGCATGATGTTAATGATCTACTTTGGCAAGGTAGAGCACCTCCTTTTGGTGTGAGGTTCTACAACACTGGATTCAATATTTTGCACCCATGGCCTTAGTGTCGGTTAAGGTTGTAGTTTACCTAAAGTAAAATGGACAATGGAAGTAAAGTAATGAACCCTAACTAGGATAACCTAAGGGAAGTTGCTTAGTATCTCTTGAAGGAAGTTCTAGAAAGGTATTCTATATGTATATGAATATCTATATACCTTATATACAAGATATTATGTATTGACCAATTGTTATGGTAATATGCATAGTATGAGTCCTATGGTGTCTTTCGATGAGGTCTCACTCCATGTGCAAGATGTTGGTATTATTGATTATATGATGAGGCTGTACCTTGAATATGCATGATATTGGTTTTACTTGTCATATGATGAAGGTCGTACTTATGTGTGTGGTTGACTATGGTTTTTATGTTGAGATATGAAGTAAATGATATGTTTGTGGTCTCTTTCAAAGTTTATTTAGTATGTGTGAGGTTATGGGACTTCATATGTACATTGTACTAGTAGGCTTCGATTGGGATTATGAGTAAGGTCTTGTGATGTCTATATTTTCACATCCGGGGAGCACCCCCTAGACGTAACCGGCGTCGTCGTCCTCGAAAAGGACTAGGAATAGCCTCTTACCTTACATCATTACATTCTTAGGTTAAAAATGAGGAAAATTTAAAACTTCTCTTCTATGTATCATGAGGTTTAGACCTCTCGCATACACATAAAATATTCATATTGAGTATATATAGAGCCTTCTTATAAGAAGATTATATAGTATTCTACTTTTATAGCACATATATATATATAAGATAGAACATAGTCTTAAAACGAATGTTTCATCTCATAACCATCTAAACAAGATTACAACAATTGGGCATAGCCCATACATCAATACAATAAGAGCCTAGTATAGGCTATACAATCTTTAGTACTCAAATGAAAGGAAATGAACATACTATCTTTAAGACTGATCAATATCCAATGCTAGAAAAGTACCATTGTCCTTGAAGTGGTGAGGACCTATCCAACTTCAAGAATGAGAATCTAAAACATAAAGTCAAGACCATGTACATCACAAGACCAACAATACTAAGTCTAGTCAAATCAACATATATATCAACATAATGGAATCATAATCAAGAAAACTCTATTATCAAGTTGTAATATCAACAAGCATGGGTAAGATTTCATAACATCATAACCAAAGCAAGACCATTATGCATGAATCCTCATTAAGTCCACTAGTGCCATGACCAAGCAAAGAACCATAATCTTACTCAATCTAGTAAGCCCAAAAAGAACCATGAACAATGTCCAACTTCACATACTATATCATTAGAAGTAAACATCAACATACTTTAACAATAGAGACCAACCACATGTTCATAGTGAAACCCTCGTCACCTAATATCGTTAACATGTAAGATCATCATATACATATCATTTAAAATTATAAGCATATACATACATAAGAATATCCTTCTAAGACTTCCCTCAAGGCTAACTAGTGCAATGTATAGGTATAGTCTCATACAGGTCATCCTAGTTAGAGTTCATTCATTAATTTATTTTACTTTTTGGGAACATATTACCTTAACCACATAGATCACATGAGCTACGGTCGAATCTTGTGTTATGGAACCTACATCGAAAGAAGGTGGACTACTTGACAAGGTAGTACCAAAATATAAACATAAAATCTATGTGGATCCACTAGCTAGTATTCCTAGTGAGGCAACATAGTTAAAGAACTAGGAGATGTAGTTGGGACCCTCTTTATGTTACATGAATTATAGTCTCCAATCTCATGAGTATATTAGTGATCCTACCTTCCCTATGTGGGAACGGACACTCCTCACTGTAGTTCACTCTGTGCTAAGTTAGAGTCCTTTTTTGAAAGGTCTTTAAGCCTTTATTAATGATCCTATCTTATTTTAGGTCTTAGGGTTTATCCCTTATATATCATCATCATCATAGCTCAATAAGAAATGCATGAGTATTTTCCTTTCATTACAATTTATACATGTGAGGTTAGCACATTTACATATCATATCATGATAAGGCAGATTGGTAAGTTATCACCATCCTTATAACATTTACATCTTAGCCAACAACTCACAAACCATAGTTCAAGTCATTCCAATTCAACATCTTACCAACCCTATAAATCTTAATATAAGGTATACTGCAATACAACTTCATCACTTAGTCACAAGTAATCATAATTAAAGTAAAGAATTGAGATCACAACAATTACCCCACTCTCCTTCACAAGCCATCATCAATGTCTTACCATCAACCATCCTCAATTCAACCCAACAATGGTTTTAATACCATAACACAAAGGTAACCAACATAATAATAAAATCAATTGAATCACTACACTATACTAATTCATCATTAGTTCATAGCCTAATATTAGAGACTTATGTCAAATTCATGATCTACTACAACCTATGTTAATTACTCAAGAACTATCATAATTGTATTACAATATATCACAATCTACTCATATATTTACATAAAAAAATATAATAATCATTCGCACAATAACCAAGCCAATAGTATCAATACTAGTCAATTCAATTTAAGATCATAACCTATGGTTAAAGGGCAAAGGTCATATTTCCACCAACTAGGCCAATGCATCAGGAAGTAGTATAATTGATTCATAATACATGTTTATTTACTCATAATAACCAAAAGTAATCATAAACAAAGCAATTGACAAGATCAATTTTGTATTGGAAGAAACGTCACTTGAATTTCATATTTTTGAAATCAAAATGGAGGAACCCTTTGGGGAATGAGATTCCAAAGGTGAAAGGAATCCCATAAATTACTAATTGATGAAGTTTTATTGAGAAAACTTGATCCTTTGCAGCCCTAGAACCATCCTTTGCTTAGTCTTCTATGTAGTTTCTTTGGGAGAGAGAAAGAAGAGAAAAGGAAAACCAATTGTGTTTTTGGGAAATTATGAGAGTTAGGTCTAGTTTAACTAGGCTAAGTCTTTATGTAGAGGTCCTTAATCAAATTAGTTGAACCTCCATTAATCCTTAATTAAGTAATTAACCTATTAACTAATTAAATGAATTAATTAAAATAACATAGCCAAACACAGACCTGACCTATGAGTCCCCAACTGACGTGTCGTAGGTCAGTTCGATGGGCAGTGTGGCCTCCGTTTTGTATGTTCTGGTTTTGGTAAGATATTTTTCCAAAATTACATCCACAAAATTATATAATTCCTCATCGATGGAGGCATCGAAGCCCCGTCATTTCACCAAAGGATCGTCGGCTACAACCGTTGATGGACACTACCTCATGGCAACTTTTTGCGAAATTGCAAGGTCCTCATCAAGGCACCTTGGTTGGTCCTTGGGAAATCGTACCCAAACGTTTTGACTATAAACAAACTATAATACGTGTTAGAAACCTCACCATAAAATCTCATCTTTTTCTTACTCTTAAAACTTAGTCAAATAGGCTAAGGCACACTAGCACCTTTTGAACTAGTTTTCGGACGTCATGAATATTCCTTGACGTTTTGATTCAAAAAATTCTTAATTGACTAATATACATTATAATTAACTTAAAACAATGTTACAACTCTTAGGCTCTCATGTTAGGCTCTAGATTAAGCTTTAGACTTGTAAGACCCCAAAAATAATTTATGTAAACTAGAGACTAAAATGTTGGCATTGATAGTATAAGGTCCTAAATAGGTCTAATATATGGTATTGAGGCAGTGTATAAAGTATTAGGTGCATTGGAAGTCAAACATCAATGGTCGACTAAGACGTCAACGACTAAGTCACCTATGTGCCTCATATTTGGTTTTATCTTATTATGTGTGCTTAATGAGGTTTTAAGGTAATTAAATGATTTATTATACCATATACAATCAGTGTGTCAATCTTCATGGAGTTTGGAGGTCAAACGTCCAATAACGTCCGTGACGTTCGAAAGATGTGCCTTAAAATG